ATTATGCTTCTGATTTGATGATTAGATCTTCTGGCTTTGACATAGAAGTGAAAGAATTTGGAACAGTAGTCCCCCTCTTCCATCTATTTCAGGTTAGCTTTCTGTTTCCAAAAGCTTAGATCATTCTCTGTAGCCCTTATCAACTGAGCCTTTGCCTTATTATCCAATTCCCTTTTTTCTGGTGTTGGGTCCTTCTCAAATTGTTCGTGAGCCTTAATTGCTGTTTCCTCGGCTTCCTTTAGTTTATTAACCACATTACCAAAAGTCTTTATGTTCCACTCTTTGATGTGTCTCTTTAGCCCATGCAATTTGAATGCTAGACCAGCCATACCCCCATGATGACTGCTACTATCCCAGTGATCAGAGACCATCTTGAGGAAAGAGTGGTGATTTAACCATGCATTCAAGAACCTAAAAGGTTTAGGACCTGCTTGGCTTCCTTTCTTGCATTGAAGTAGAATAGGCTTGTGGTCTGATGATGCTCTACTAAGATGAGAAATAGTGATATCCTCATAGTCTTCTATCATCCGGTCATTGACCAGAGCCCTGTCCAGCCTCCTCATAACTCTACCATTGCTTCTAACCCCAGACCATGTGAATAAAGACCCAATAGTGTGAGGTGTGGAGAGCCCACAAGTTTCAAGGCAGTCCCTGAACTCCTCCATGTCAACGGTAAAAATGTAAATAGAAGAAGAATAGGAATATACAAATAGAACGGGCATACCCGAGCTTGGAATTGGTAACACACCAAATCCACAAAGTAACATTAGCCAACAAGACTAAACGTCAACAAATACAGCCAAACAGCAGCCACTAACGCACACACCAACAAACATCATCAAAAAGAAAGGGAGTACAGCGGCCAAAGCCTTCCCACAATAGAATACACCATCAATTTAATTTTACAGATAATGGCCTCAACATCAAGAGGTTTACGATAAAAAAGGACAGCATTCCTATGTTTCCAGATTTGAAACACCGTGCAAGCCAACGCAATCCTCCTGGTTTTCTTCAAAAGAGCATCGCCCTTTCTAAAAGTTTTCATCCATCGAAGAGCCCTGTCCAAAGTACTTATCTGACCCTGAATACGTAGCCAATTTTTTACAGCTCCCCAAACCTGCTCAGTGACACAACAGCCAAAGAAAAGATGATCCATGTCAGATTGTAAGGGGGGATGCTTTCCACAGTGTTCTGAGCAATCAGAAATGACGTTGAAGTCTCCTCCCACTATCCATTTGGTTTGAGGGGTGATTTTGATTAAACCATCCCAAAGTTCTCTCCTTTCCTTGCCATTGTGCTTTCCATATACTGTGGTTATAGCAATAGTATCCTTAATAGTGTTGTCAAGGAAGTTACAGTGCACCCATTGTCCCTGCTCCATCATGTCAATTAAAGTCAGAATTTCCTCCGTCCAGAATAACCAAATTTTGTTGTTAGCAGTAGCAATGTACTTGTTGAAGCCTAGATCCATCCCATATTTGCCAATCTGGGTACCAGATACTATAGGTTCAATAATAGCAATGAAATTAATATTATGTTGTTTCTTTATAGCTTTGATCCTTTTTAGAGAGGATCGAACTCCACAGACATTCCAAAACAGCACTATCATTAAAAGATGATGTGTTTGAACTCTTTATGCCCTTTATGACTTCTTGTGACAATAGTCAATGGAGGGCCCTGCTCTTTAAGTTTATTTTTCCTCATCCTTGGGACTGATAATGGTGTTGCATTGGCTGCAGGGATTTGGAAGTTCCTAGCTTCCAGTTTGGATCTGTCCATGACCTCGTTGCAACCATCATCGTCGGAGTGTCTTCCTCTCTCTACCATTGTGTCTGCTTCAGTTTGATGGCTGGTGAGATTCATAACTTCAACTAGCATAGCTAAACCCTTCTCTGGTGAGTGATGGTTAAGACAGTCATCAAAGGAGACTCTTCTACTTCTTTTTGAGAAAAATGTATCCCCTCCCCCAATTTCCGAGACCTTAGCTTGTGCCCCAGTGGTTCTATAAAAGTAATCCTTTGCTTCTTTAAGGGATGGAAATAAAGATGAGTCCCCCATCATTTCTGAGTTTTCCTTTGAGAAGTCCAGTACTTGATTAAGAGATGCCTCATATTCATAAGTAGACATAATTGTTGAATTGTTAGGACCTACCAGGCTTGGAGTGCAGTCCATTAGGTTCAAAATATTGAACCTATTGTTTTGGCCTGTAGTGGGTTTCTTTTTCCATTCAAATTTTGATGGGCCCTTTACTGTTTGATTTCTTTCCTCCTGGGGGTTATGTGCACGGCTTTTACCCTTTGTCTTTTTGCTCTTAATGGTTTCCCAGTAACCATCCTTCTCACTCTTGGAGCCCAGAGTACCCTTGCCGGAGGGACTTTTTCCGGTGGGAGTACTCATCTGAGTTTGGCAATGATGCCCATCAGAGTGACCCAGAAGATTACACTCTTTGCAAAAGTGAGGCTTATCTTCATATCTGCAATTTATGTAAAAATCTTTTCCCCCCATTCGTATGTGCAATTTGTTTGGGGCTGGTACAGAGATATCCATCTCTACGCAGATCCTAGCCCCCTCCCTTCTATCTTTATTAACAGTGTAATCATCTAATTTTACAGGTCTACCTACCAGAGATGCTATGGAGAAGAGAGCCTGAAAGTTAGTCAGATGCAAAGGCAATTTCTCCAATGTAATCCAGACTGGGAAAATTGGAGAATCTGTATATTGATTGTACTCTCTAGTCCATTTAAAAATGTAAAAAGTGCTTCCATTATCGTACCATTTTCTTCTCTGTAAAAACCTGATGTAGTCATCTTCATTCTTGAAAGTAAACAGTATGTCCCTTGAGTTGATTCTTCTAATCTTGAAATTGCTGAAACCCACCCTTAGCATGAATGCCTTTAATGTTGATAAGTGATGCTCCTTATTGAACCTTCCAACTGCTGAGAAGTTCATTTTGCTCTCCAGTATGTCCTCTTCTTCTACCGTAAAGCTGATTGAAGGGATTCCATTATAGAACCCTTCCCTTCTACCCACCTCTTTGACTGAATTTTGAGCAAAAAGTTGAGAAAATAGTTTGATAAACTGTGAAGGATTTTTCTTGGTTCCCTTTTCCGGTAGATATGCCGGAGAATTGGCCGGAATTCTCTCCCTTCTCTCTAGAACCATTTTTTTTATATATCATATATAAATAAATAAATAAATAAATAAATAAATAAATATATATATATATATATATATATATATATATATATATATATATATATATATATATATATATATATATATATATATATATATATATATATATATATATATATATATATATATGGGATTGACTCCAGTGAGATGACACCTTATGGTAAGATGACATGCTTCAATCAGATGACACAACACACAACTTTGCCAATGGAAAGCTCACCAACTGCCAATGCAAAGCTCACCTACTGCCAATGCAAAGCTCACCAACTGTCAATGCAAAGCTCACCACTTTTTTTAAAATAAAAAAAGTTAAAAAAATAGCACACCACTTATTCACCCGTCAACCACCGCTCAACCACCGGTCCACGGCAACAGTGGGGGTCATCGGTGGTGGCCATTGGTCATGGGCGGTCAAAGTGTAAATGTAACGCCCCAAAACATACCCTAGAATTATTAATGAATAAATAATCAATTAATCACAATTGTTTTGATTAAAATAAATTATTGTTGGGCTTTGGGCCGATATGAAATTTGTTTTGACATCTAATATCAAAATCTGGATAAGTCTCATAGAGATAAATCCAATATGTGGACTATTTGTGTGGTCTTGATTGGGAACCTAAGTACAGACCCAAATCAAGAGTACATAAAGAATTTGTTTATATGTAAATATTGAAATGATTTGTTGAAATAAATCATGAGAATAATTGATGTGAATTAAATGAGAGAACCTTTTATGAGGAAGGTCAATTAAACCAATTTTGACTCTGTTAAAGTCAAACACCCAAAAATGTGGTGTCAGAAAAAGTATAATGAATGAATATAAAAATTATATCGTTGGATAGAGTTCGACTGTCTGATTGCAACGGTGCAAACGGATTTTAATTCGGAGAAAGTTGGACCAAAAAGTGTAACCCAACTAGAACCAAAAATTGGTCCCAATCAGGGACACCGTGGAGACGGCGCCTCCCAGCGCACTAGAAAGTTTCCTACGCAGCATCTACTTGGAGAAGTGTCCTCTTCTTCTTCACCATTCTATATAATAAGAACCTAACCCAATCAATTCTTCACCATTCTTCTTCATTTTTCCTTC